GACCTTAACAAATTATCTCAGATTATCTGGGTTCGATCGCTAATTAAATTCTTCATCGTTTAATAAGCGAAGAAATACGAGCGGAAAGCGGAAATATTTAATGCGACAGCAAACTATCTAAAGCGGGTTAAACGAGCTCATTATTGCGGGCTTTGATCATCGCCTGGATTTCCTCCAAGTGCTCGGGTTCCAGCCGGCTGTCCCTCAACTCTCTTCTGATCCGCGCGTTGTCATCCTCCAGCTCTCTGATCTGCTGAGCCAACAGCTGCTCCTCGTTGACAAACATCTGATTAGTGGCATCATCCAAGGGGAGCCTCTGAACCTCCCCCTCCTCAGGCAAGCCTCTTCTTGGCCCCTCGCAGTTCAGCACATTTGCAGTGGCCACATGCTGAAGCTCCACCCGTTCACTCTCAATTCGACGCAGTCGCCCCTCCTCCATCAGCAAATCGTTCTGAAGCTGCTCCTCCTCTTCAGCAACTGGTTGCAGCTCGTGCGCTTCCAGGTCGCAGCAGTTGAAGCTGCCGGCTAATCTCTGCTCTAATTCTACTGCCTCAGTGGTTTGCATCAGTTCTGAGTCGCTGAAGTTCAGAAGCTCCCCCGAGTTGGTGGCTTTCGGAGTGGAAAACTCTTCGGATTGCGGTTGATAGTCTTCGAAAGAATCCAGGAACTCTTTCGTCTTGTTTTGCTGCTGCACGCAGCTTAAGAGGTCTTCCTGGATGGAGTGGGCAGGATCTTCCTCCTGAGTGTTCGCCCGTTCTTCAAAGTGCATTTCTTTAACTTCGCTCAAATTCAGCATCAGAATGGTTTTGTGGATGTCCAGCTCATGCAGCAGCCCCCTGAGCTGGCAGTCCGAAGTGTTCCTGTGCAGCGCGCTCACTTCGTTGGCTGCTTGCAGCAGATTGGCTCTGATGTTCTTCAGGATGTCCTCCTTTTTCTTCTCCAGCCCGGAAATTTTCAGCTCCAGCACGGTGCTTTCAACCGGGTTTCCCAGCGGGTCTGCGCATTGTTGACCTGCCGCTATGTCTTCTTCTAGCTTCTGCCTCATGCTCTCTATGCTAGCGAGTTTTTTGATCAGAAGCTGCCCACTGGCCGACTGAGGCAGCCTGGCGCCGCCTTGAGCCTGTAGGAGCGCCAGCTCCTGCTTCAGCTTCAAATTCTCCTGCGCCAAAGCATTGTTGTCCTCATTGGCTTTCTTCACCAAGCTGATGTCGCTTAGCAGCTGCTCCTTCTCAGTCTCCAACTCCCCAATCAGCTGCTTCAAATAGTCATCCTCAACCTGCAGCTGTTGAATCTCCGTCGAGCCCAACTGAATGTCGTTCAAAGCTTTATTGAGCCGCCGCTGTATGTTGATGGGGGCCTTGGTGTCCGAAACCCAGGCGTCTTGAACCAGATGCAAGTTCAGCTCGTCCTCCAGCTGCTTCTTCTGATTCTCCAGGTCGCTGACGACCTTTCTGAGGAAGTTCGCGTCGTTTCTGAGCTGCGCACATTTGGCCGAATCCAAGCTGGTGATCTGTAGAGTCGCCTGCAGCAGTTTTTTCAATTTCTCATTCTGATTTTCCAGCTGTTTGATCCTGTTTGAGACGGCCTCTGACATTTTGAAACCTCACGGCGAATTTTGCGCGTTCAACGTGCCATTTGGTTGGTTGACAAGGCCCTTCAAAATTTTCAATGGAGAAACATGGAAATTCAGAATGAAATTGTGAAAACCCAGAATAGAGTCGACCTCTTGGAGCATCAGAACCATAAGTTTAAAGCGCTGCTAGAGAAGGCGCTGACGGTGACCAGGAAAACCTCCTCTAAGAGCACGGGGTTTGAAAGCGAGTTCCTGCAGGAGAGCATCCGGATCATTGAGCAGGAGAGGGAGAATTTGAAGGTTGATCTGAGCCACTGGGGGCTGGAGGATGAGCCGACTGGTCAGAGCTTGCTCGACAAGGTGGAGAGCTTGGAGCGGCTCAGAAAAGCCCAGCAGGAGCAGATAGAGAGCCTGCGGGCTGAGCACGCGGAAATCAAGTTTTTGCTGCTGCATCCCGAATCCCGGAACGCTGAGTGGCTGCGCAATATTTTGCAGCTGGAAAATGACGTAACAGAGACCCGATCGCTAGTGGAGGAGCGCTTCCGCCTCCAGCGCAAAATCCTCAATCTGGAAAAGAAGAAAGCCGAACTCCTCCTGGCTATCAACGACGCAGCAATTCCGCAGCAAATCGGCAGCTTCATCAAGCAGGATCTGGAAAAATCGCTTGCCAGCTGCACATCCAGCCAAGGTCTGTTGGAGTATGAAGATCTGCGCTTCAGGATGCTCAATCTGGAAGACGAACGCTCCAGATTGTTGAACGATCTGCAGTGCGTTCTGGACCAGTCCAGAAAAGAGATCGCCAGGGAGTACAACCATCTGCAGAAGAAAATCATGGAGGTGGAGAGGCAGAAGGCCAATCTGAAGATGAGTCCCACTGATCCTGCAGAACAGAAAATCACCCGCCGGGAGCTGGAGAACATCTTCAATGCTTTCACCAATATTCCCTTGAAAGAGGCGGACGAAAGGGCGAGGATTGAAAGGATCAAGGCGGAAGTGGGCAGCATGTTTAGTCCGGGCGTTGGTCTGCCAGTTTATTGCAATATTTTGTGAAGTATACAGGGTGTTTGGCAATGGCGTTGTTTATTTTAAGGTGCCCTAGGCTGGAACTTAATTGGCACAAATTGCACTTCAAATTACCTCGTAGGAAGTGGGAATGGTGACATTTTTGCCATCGTCAGAAGATACTTGAAACTATCGATGCGGAAAGTTCCGTAAAAATCGATCAGAGTTTCAATTTTTACCAGCTTAGTAAGGAAATGTTAGTCCGAAAATTGATGTTTTCAGTCAAGTACACTCACTCGCTCGCCTAAAAATTCGC